TATTATATATATATATATATATATATATATATATATATATATATATATATATATATATATATATATATATATATATAATTTAACAATTTATTTTTGTAATAGATCTGGAAAATGTAAACAATACCACTGACTAATTGATTTGTATTAAAAACTGACAAAAATAAAAAAATAAATATAATAAACAACTTTTATTTAAAACAACTGAAAATAAAAATTAAAATAAAAAAATTATTTACATTTATAGATAAATACAATTATTTTTAAATCACTGCACTTTTTTCTATATAAAAAAAATTATTTTTAGTGCTGTCAAACCGATTAATCGCATCCAAAATAAAAGTATATTTATATAAGATTTAATAAATATAAATATATATTACATATATTTCTTAAATGTAGGGATGCACCGATACCACTTTTTCCAGTACTCGCCCGATACGATAATTTTATTTTTGGTACTTGCCGATACAGAGTACCGATAACAATATTTTTTTATTGCATTTGTAAATGTTTTAAATATTGGGTACAGAAACCAAAAGAGTATGTATAATGTTAGTTGGTTACCTTCATTTATCAAATAGATACAGTCAAGCCAAAATTTATTCAGACACCTTCAACATTTCTCACATTATCACAGTTTATTCACTATAGTTTAGAAAATGGTAATAAAATATAACAAGAACTCAGAGTTAAACTGTGTCAGAACAAATTCAGCTTGATAATGTCAGATAACTTTGAGAGAAAGGTAATGGATTACAATCAACCAAAAATTAAGACAGCTGTTAGTATGATAGTATTTACACAACTATCAATACTTAGTCGGGTGACCTTTAGCCTTAATGACAGCCTGTAGTCTCCTGGGCATGCTGTCACCCAGCTTCATGCAAACCTGAATTTCAATTTTTTCCCCAGACTCAGTCTGAATAATTTTTGGTCCCAAATTTGTAGTTTCACTGGTAGTCCACTGTATGAAGAAATTGTGGGTATAATTTGTCACAGGTGACTATTTTGCTATCCTCACTTACATAAATGAACTATAGTGTCCTGCACCCACTAGTAAAAAAATATCAAAAATGATATCTGGTCTCTGAATAACGCAGTGTGTTACTGATGGTAGCCTTTGTTACTTTGGTCCCAGCTCTCTGCAGGTCATTCACTAGTTCCCCCCGTGTGGTTCTGGGATTTTTGCTCACAGTTCTTGTGATCATTTTGACCCCACGGGGTGAGATCTTGCGTGGAGCCCCAGATTGAGGGAGATTATCAGTGGTCTTGTATGTCTTCCATTTTCTAATAATTGCTCCCATAGTTGATTTCTTCACACCAAGCTGCTTACCTATTGCAGATTCAGTCTTCCCAGCCTGGTGCAGGTCTACAGTTTTGTTTCTGGTGTCCTTTGACAGCTCTTTGGTCTTGGCCATGGTGGAGTTTGGAGTGTGACTGTTTGAGGTTGTGGACAGGTGTCTTTTATACTGATAACAAGTTCAAACAGATGCCATTAATACAGGTAACGAGTGGAGGACAGAGGAGCCTCTTAAAGAAGAAGTTACAGGTCTGTGAGAGCCAGAAATCTTGCTTGTTTGTAGGTGACCAAATACTTATTTTACCGAGGAATTTACCAATTAATTCTTTAAAAATCCTACAATGTGATTTTCTGGATTTTTTTTTCTCATTTTGTCTCTCATAGTTGAGGTATACCTATGATGAAAATTACAGGCCTCTCTCATCTTTTTAAGTGGGAGAACTTGCACAATTGGTGGCTGACTAAATACGTTTTTGCCCCACTGTACATATACTTCGTAGACATCCTTAATCTCTAATAACTCCATTCTGCTGTCTGTTGTTCTGCTGTCGGTGTTTCATTGTCTGAATATGGCACTTAACACATGCTGTGTGGTATCGGGGTATTTTAACGAGTACGAGTACAAGTACAGGAGTCGGTATCGGTGCATCCCTACTTAAATGGATGCGATTAATCGTGATTAATCGAGTTGATGGCACTAATTATTTTATTTTTTATGGGGGGGAAACTCCTGAAAAAAAGATTATAGTATATACAGTATATAAATTTTAGCAAATGCAGAAAGGCTTAAGATATGTCCTCAAATCCTAGTATAAAACCAACCTCTGCTTCTGAGCTAACAGTTCGTGTTGTGACTCCCACTGTGTAAATCCCTCCACTGGCATCTTCGTGGATCTTAATGTTGGATTTCTGCTTGCGGGCCTCCATATCTCGAGTGGAATCAAACAGGTCAAGCACCTCCTCATTGTACAACTATGAAACAAAACACCGCACCTTAGTCAGCTGAAAATATACAGGAGTGGTTAAGTAATTAATTAACCAAGCTCAGACATGTATGCTAACATCTCCAACGTCTGCCAGTCTCTGCCAAAGTTAAGACAGGCGTGTTACATTTGTGGCATGCTGTCAACACCACCCTTTGCATGACAGCAGCTCTGTTACACTTATCAGAGGATATATTTAAACCTCAGTGCTGATATGGAGAGATAACTCAACATCTTCACTTCCATTAAGACCAGAAATAACACATCTGTCAGTTGAAAGTTGGCTAATGGTAGTTTCTTGAGCTCAGATGAAGCCAAACTACAAGTGAAACTGACAGTTAAGGTTGTTATTTACCTCTAAGAACTGGGCGTTGATCTTAAACTCAGGTACGGGTCGCCCTTGTTCTGTGGCGGCCTGTCTGCGCTCCTCGATGCCTCTGAAGAGGTGGCTGATGGCCCGTGGAATAATTCCCAGCTCCTCTTCATTGATGTTCACGTCAAAGCCCGTGCCCATGGTGTAGGTCTTTCCCGAACCGGTCTGGAAAGATTCAGGAGGATGTGAGATAAACAAGTCCACTCAAACAGAGGATATTCTTAGTTAACTTTTGATGTGTTTCAAAGTTCCTCATTGTACCTTAAAGGAATATTTCAGATAATTTCCAATACAAAGTCTATGGACACCACCTGCAACATGCTGTCAATTACCGAGGAAAATAAATTCAATTTGTCCCTCAGTTTGAACAAACAAACAGGAAAAACATTTACAGTAATGTTGTTATATGCTGTATAATGCTGTTGAATGTCAATGAGGGAAATGTTCTGGAAGGTTTAAACACAAAAATGTCAAGCTCATATATTTTCTTCTCTACATGAAAATAGCAATATATATATATATATATATATATATACCACAAAAATAATTTCAACTTGCCCCTTTAGTTTGCACAAACATGAAAGCAAGATGAAAACATTTACAGTAATGCAGTTACAATCAAAGTGAATGAGGCAATGCTTGTTTTTTAACCATATATATATATATATATATATATATGTAGATGACAGGCAGACAGCCAGATAGATAGATAGATAGATAGATAGATAGATAGATAGATAGATAGATAGATAGATAGATAGATAGATAGATAGATAGATAGATAGATAGATAGTGATTAATTTCTCACAATTTTTACTGAATATCTCTCTCTTTCCACAGAATGAGTCAAAACTCATTTAGGGTAAAAAAAACAACCCATAGTCTTGTGAAAAACCTGCCTGTGCTGTTGGTATGTGTGGTAAATGTGAAGCAGAGACATTTTCTTTTAGCTGAGGCAACAGAGGGGGGTGGGGGTGGGGGTGACAGTCCAGACAAAAGAAGTTTGGGGTCTCTGTCACCATAGACACACAGAGGAATGACACACGGGGCCTGAGCGCACATCATCCACTGAAAGAGACGCTGACAGGAAGACAAGACCCCTGAACAACAGGGAGAGAATTAACAAAGCCAGAAAAGGCTGACGAAGAGGCGGAACTCTCATGAGGGAGAGTTTTTTTTTATCATTATTCAAAGAAAGAACTTAAGATGTAATACACTACCTCTGTTGGGGGAAAAAACTACGCATTAGGACTGAGGGGATCAGACCTTTTTAGTAATCTATTAGTGTTAGATTACTAAAAAAAATGCAGCATTCTTGTCTGAACATGTCCATCGTTCAGGGTCTGACAAAAGTTTCATTGTTTGTTTGCTTTGCTTGATGTGTAGCATGCTCCACAATTGCTTATACTGTCACTGCTTTGTGTTTGTAAAAAAAAAAAAATTATATATATATATATATATATATATATATATATATATATATGTACTTGCTAGTTATACCATTAAAAATGTAGTTAGAAACACAACTTTTAGGAATTTTGCAACCTAAATAAGTCGGCAGAAGTAAAAAGCTAAACGTAGGCTATAAATGAACTACACCACAATTGCATGACTTCAGCATCAACACTATTATGCTTCCAACAAGTTTAAGTTTCCGACATTTTCCCTGAAACAATCTACAAACAAAAAATAAGTACTACACTGAAAGCTATTTGAGGCTGCATGTTTTTAAATTAATAACTATTAAATAGCTTAATTGATTTTTCCAGTGATAATGTGGCTCAAAAAACAATGGTAAATTGTGAGGTAATTTTGCAGACCAAAACCCAGAAACAAAGTCAATGGATTATTGAATGAATATTTGGTTAAATGTCTGACATAAAATCTGTGGCTAACACAAGCTCAAGATATTTTCATGTTTTATTCTAAAACATAAAATACATCAATAATACTCCCTTGTTATTTTTATTTGAAAAAAAGATCTGGTGGTAGCTAACAAGTGGCTAAATGGGACTAAATGTGTTGTTAGGGACATTAAACATCATCCCGCCAAACAGGAAAGTTCATCTGCTTACAAGATTTAAGTTGTTGGAAACTAGTGAAAAGTGGTGGCGTTGAAGTTTTGCAACTGTGGTGTAGTTGTTTATAGCCTTCATTTAGATTTAGGTCTGGTGATTATATTTAGGCTTTAGGATTCATCAAATTTGAGTTCATTTTTGCATACAATCATAAACTTTTGTTGGTCACAGACCTTATTTTCTCCAGTAAGCCTAAAGCCAATTGAAAAATTCTGTTGGGCTTTCGTTGAAAGAACCAGGGTGATGCTAACTTGGTTGACCTACAAAAATACTTAATCACTGCAGTATTAGACTTGAACAGGTAAGTTTAAGATAACTAAAACAACTAACAAAAGATTGCAGGATTTAATTAAATATTTCCTGTCAACGTTAACACGATTACTGCGATTCATTTTACAATCATTAACACGTTAAAATAATTTAACGCAATTAACGCAAAGTTACTGAAGCACAATTTCTATTCTAACCCTTTAACCCAATTTTGCTTCTCTGCTTGCGATCAGATCATTTTAAGCTGCTAAACTCCGGGAAAGTTTTCAGTCCAATGATCCAGTAAGCGAATGCATTCAAACATCCGTCCAAAACAGCGCTAATATAAAGGAAACCAGGCTGATTACATCAGAGATTGCAGAGAGAACAGACAACTCACGTTGCGTTTTCAGTGAATTATTCATTGCAGTGTGTTTCGCTTTAAAACACGAGCTCTGTCATATTCTGTGATTGTCTCTGAAGAGCGCGAGCCCCCTCACACGTCACACGTGCTGTGTGAAGTACAGACTGAACGGATTGTTAACACATCCCACCGCTGTATGGCCAGATGAGACGCAAACTACGTTTTCTCGACTGGATAACCAGTCTCGCTAGTAAAGTTTTGATGGATGAAGACTGCAATCAAGGTAAAGACGATTGCGGTGGCGTACAGGAGTCGTACAGTAAGCACGCGTGAGTCTGTTATAATAATGCGTGTATGAGTACTCTTGACGCACTGATCGCACATTGTATTTATGCACAGGCACAGACATTTCCATACATTCATGATAATGTTTTGATTTGCCATTTTTATGTTGCTGTGTTTAGTTATACTGAATGGATCCGTGTAGTGTAGTAGATATGCAGTCAGCAGGCGATGGGTTTAGGGTGTTTTTGGCATCTCCATGTGGTCCTGTTCGGTATCGCAACTTGACTTCTCTAAAATGTGAAAAAGCTCTTTGCTGTTGCACTGTACACATACTATAAAACACAGAATTATTTTTCTTTCATATGTGCTTATATGGGCTCCTTGTTATATCATTTGGTTCTTTGGTGTCCTTTTGGAGTTTCTAAGTGTTTAGACATCTACATTTATCTTGAAAAAAAGCTTACAGAAAATACAGATTTTTGAGAATCACCCTTCAATCTTTTGGTTTACTTTGCTGAATATAGCAAATGATGACAAAATAAAAATTTGAAACAAGATACATGGTCTATGCTTAATTTCATGAAGTGTGTGATTGATCGCTATTAATTACAGAAAAAGGGTGTGATTAATTAGATTTAAATGTTTTATCTATTGACAGCCCTAATTTCCTTACAAATCAAGAACATGTAGCAAGCTGTGAATTGGTTTTTGAATTGGCTCTATTAAAGAGTTCAAACAAGACAATTCACTAAAACGTAGCTATTTTATAAGGTGATGATTTCATATGAATTGGTACAATGCTATTCATATGGGGGGGGGGGGGGGGGAAGCATGAAGGTCCACCCTAAACCATCAGTGTCGCATAAACAGACTGTATGAAAACAAGATTCATAAAAATTTGCCAAAACAAAATATATTGTTTTGAACTGCCATGAGAGTGTGCTAAAAGTTGTGTTCAGAACATTTAACTCAATAATAATTCCAATAATGCTAATGAAATTCTTGGCTGAAATGGAAAATGTCTGGATCAGAAAGTTCTGGGCTGAAAACATAAACATTTTCAGTGTTGACTGACTTCTTGACTGATTGCTGATGTTGACTGATAACTTGACTTCATCACTGGGTTTCTTGGCATTTTACAGTCTTACCTGTCCATAGGCGAAGATAGTGGCATTATATCCTTCAAAACAGCCTTCGATGAGTTTCTCAGTGCAGTTGCTGTAGATACTGTCCTGCTGCGAGTCCATGTCAAAAACATAGTCAAACGTGAAGGGCTTGTCCTTTCCCAGAACAACCTGGGGCTCCCCAGGGGTCACGAACGTGCAGATGTGACATCCCTCTATCTTTTCCTTTGACAACTGTGGACGAATCCTGGAAAAATAGAGTGTTTATGTTAAAGAGGAAAATTATTTATCTGACTAAATGTTTTTTTTTTATCTTAAAACGGTGTTAGATTAAACAATGGCGAATTGTTGTATGACAGTTAAAAAGTTGATATATTCTATATTTTAATAATCTACTGATTTGATATTTATTGATATTGATTTGATATATGTTTTTATTTCATGGAAACAGTCAAGAAAGTCAAGATCTTTGAGGTGGTACAGGCCAAAATTCCTATTCCTAATTCCTAACAGTCTATACATTTTTTTTTATGTTTATAAGATTAGTTATGTTACATAATGGTTTATCTAACAAATCTATTTTTAAAAAAAAGCCTCTAATGATTTAAAAAGGTCTTCCAAGAATACTGTATTTGTGGAAAGTGCCAAAACACTCCAATCCTGAGTTCGTTCATGAACACAGACGTTCTCTGTTAGAGGAGAGCGAGAGAGGAAGCTCTGGCAACACGATAGGTAAACAGTCACACCCTGGGATTCATTTACTCACGTTTTCTGTTTTCATTATTTAAACCTTTCCTCCAACACAACCTGCTGCTCTGCCTTTTACTTTTTAGCCCTTATTCTGATGATTTTTTGAAGGGAGACGTATCACAGAAAAAACTTGAATTCTGAATTTATGTATTAATGTATATAATACTAAGAGCACAAAGTATCCTCTTGGTCCACCCAGATGATTTATTGAAAATGAATTACAAAAATGTACAGTAGTAATTTGATGGTTATGATATAAAAACTGTGAGCTCATTCATATATTGTAGCTGTAAACCCAACACACATTAACATTACCAAGTATGTGAAAGTAAATGATTATAGTTATGCAAGTCCCATGCAGAACTTGCAATGTGTCTGAATACAATAATTAATGCAGTGCAAGTGGTCAGTGAGAGGGTAAAAATAAATGGTTACACTTTATTTCGATAGTCCACTTTAGACATTCTATTAACTATAAGTAACTTTGTAACTACATGTCAACTAATTCTCATTAATTTGCGACAACATGTCTACTAACTCTCAGAGCAGACTGTTAGGGTAGGTTTAGGGTTAGTAGAATAAGTTGACAAAGAAAGTGTTAGAAGATATTAAGCAGACAGTCTACTAATACTCTACTAACTGCTAGTTGACATGTAGTTGTAATGTTATTTACTGTTAATAGAATGTCTAAAGTGGACTTTCGAAATAAAGTGTTACCAAATAAATGTAATGTAAAACTAAATTATTAAATTTTTCGTGCAAGAAATATGACTTAAATATGAAAACAACAATATTTTGAAATTATGTTATTAGTTTTTAGTATTAATTATAATTGAAAAGATTTATCTGTTTTTTTTTCCTGTAAAAAACTGAAGGCAAATGGTGGTCCAGTAGTGCACAACACAGCGAAATCAATGTGACTGGTTTCCTTTGTGTTGCGACTTGTTTCCGTTGTGTTGCGACTTGTTTCCGTTGTGTTGCGACTTGTTTCCGTTGTGTTGCGACTTGTTTCCGTTGTGTTGCGACTTGTTTCCGTTGTGTTGCGACTTGTTTCCGTTGTGTTGCGACTTGTTCCCATTGTTTTGTGCAAATTTTGTTGTGTTGTGACTTGTTTCTGTTGTGTTGCGACTTGTTTCCCTTGTGTTGTGGCTTGTTTCCATTGTGTTGCGACTGGTTTCTTGCAATGTGTCTGAATACAATAATTAATGCAGTGCAAGTGGTCAGTGAGAGGGTAAAAATAAATGGTTACACTTTATTTCGATAGTCCACTTTAGACATTCTATTAACTATAAGTAACTTTGTAACTACATGTCAACTAATTCTCATTAATTTGCAACAACATGTCTACTAACTCTCAGAGCAGACTGTTAGGGTAGGTTTAGGGTTAGTAGAATAAGTTGACAAAGAAAGTGTTAGAAGATATTAAGCAGACAGTCTACTAATACTCTACTAACTGCTAGTTGACATGTAGTTGCAAAGTTACTTACTGTTAATAGAATGTCTAAAGTGGACTATCGAAATAAAGTGTTACCAAATAAATGTCATGTAAAACTAAATCATAAAATTTTTTGTGCAAGATATATGACTTAAATATGAAAACAACAATATTTTGAAATTATGTTATTAGTTTTTTCCGTTGTGTTGCGGCTTCTTTCCGTTGTGTTGCGGCTTCTTTCCGTTGTGTTGCGGCTTCTTTCCGTTGTGTTGCGACTGGTTTCCACCGTTGTGTTGCAACTGGTTTCCGTTGTGTTGTGGCTTATTTCCATTGTACTGTGCTAATTTCGTTGTGTTGCGGCTTTTTCCATTGTGTTATGGAGATTTTGTTGTGCTGTAGCTTGTTTCCGTTGTGTTGTGGCGATTTCATCGTGTTGTGCACTACTGGGCCACCGTACAATTCAGTAGCCACAGTCCATCAATACACACAAACAATCAATCGTAGTTACATTAGCGGATGGCATAAATAATAATTTGTGCTCTATACAAAGTCCACTACGTTGTTCATGCATAAAGAATCTCTAAGACTATTTACTACCGTATAATACACTTATACACTTATACACTTAAAGTGAAAACTAAATTTAGTGAATGTACTGTAGTACAGTACTTTATATGCAATACAAAGAGTTGACCCTGGCAAGATTGCTCATTCTAGAGACGCCAGGATTCAATGCATTAGTGTCTGAGAGAAATGTTAGTATCCAGTAAAGCTGAAAGCTCTTCAGTGATGTTATTTACCGTTGCTTTTTATTTGCCTTTGTTGCACAAAAGTTTACGATTTGTTCGTGAAAACACTCGTATGCAGATTTAATGTACAATTCTGTGCATACAAACTGTTACTGAATCAGTGTCCTAACAATTTAAACAGTGCTACTCTGTTTTTAACCTCTGTTCGTAACATGATTTTCCAGCAGCAAGCTTCTATTCACTCTTTCAGTTGTGAAGTCACTTTTAGGACAGTAATGCTAGTCAAACAGTCTTGTCCAGTCTTTTCCAGAGTGACATCTCTAGTGTCTCCAATCCCTTTCAAATACTAAATACAGTCACTCAAGGGTTAACTTTGTTCCTCAATTTCAGAGCTACTCAAGTGTGCCAGTGCATTCTATGCTGCTTAGAGGGGATACATGAACACATAACTCAAAAATAAGCCATATTACAATGACGACCTCTGACCACTATAAATCTTTAAAGACTTGAGGATATATAAATTGGTCTTGTAAAGCCAAATGCACTCCAAGAACCCCCTAACCACAAATGATGTCAATGTGAGCCCATACTACGCCTCTGCATGTGTAATTATACATACTGTAAAAGATATTGTGAGACATTTATGAGACTGAAATACATTTCCCATTTCAACATCTTCCACAAAACACTCTAGTCAGTCATCTGACAAATGTATTTGCTCATACTATTGCACCTTGCACCTAGATTTCATGTTAGAATATATAATATTATAAACAGTATAATATAGTATATAATGAATGAATGAATAATTTTTGTTTGTGTATTGTACTTATTTTTTATATATACTATTGTTTAATATACTATTATTTAACAATGTCGTTAAGAAGACACACTGTTGAATTAAATGCCACCTCTAAATAAAAAGTCTCTGTAAACCCTTTTTTTAAAGAAATGTATTAGATTTCTGATTTTATTTTATTATGCAACAGTTGCATTGCTACCATTATGTCTTTGAGAATGAGTGAATCATACATTGAACCAATTAGTTCAAAAACACTGAATGAAGTGACTTCCTTCATAAGTGAGTCATTGAATTAGTCACTCAAACAATTTGTAAAAAAAAAAATACAGGAATGAAACATCACTACTGTGTGTTGCTCTGAGACATGCAAGCACTGATTCTGCTTTAGTTTTTTTTAAGAGCAAAAGTAGAGAAATAACTGCCAATAATGAGTCTAAATTGCTAATTAATCTGCTGTTTAAAAGCATAATCACGCAGTACTAGAACGGTTATTCTCAATACATACTTAGTAATCAATTAATCTCTGTTGACACCTGAAATGATCATTTGGTCCAGACAATAAGAATTAAATTAGGATTTTCCAAATACATTTTTTTTCTCAAAAGCACTAAAAGAATAATTAATCAAAACTCATATGACTTTCCTTCTTTTCATCTTTTAAACACAAATGGGAAGCACATTTAAGCTTCCTTTCACCATATTTGATCAGTTGATCTTTTCATTATATAAAACAATTGTGACTCTCCAGACCACTTGATTCATATGGAATACTTTTAATTACATATTTGACAACTTCTTGAAGCTTTACATTTTTGGTGAAATGGACTTTCAATGGATTTTCTCAGGAAAGCTGAATAATTAGCATTATCTAATGTTATGCATTAGGTGGGCCACACATTGTTCACAAGGCATAAAATTAAGCTCAACTTCTGACTAAACGTGTTAACCTCAACCCACGGGCATCATTACTGCGATTACAGTGACAAATATATCTCCACGGCCTCCTCTTTCCCAGGGAAAAGATCAGTAGCTTAAGTGGATTGGACTATGTTCTACAGGTCCAACAGTTATCTAGTCAGCCAGAAGCACAAGGGTCCATTTTGTCTGCTACGGGATCATTTGACCTCTAAAATATCTCAGATGAGCTCACAATGATTTCCAAAAGTAAACTAAGCAGAATAAAAACATAAAAAAATTCCAATAAAGCAGATGGAGACAGATGGGTAAGTGCTGATGCATCCTGCCCTAGAAAAACATGACCCTATTAGAGTGCTATTATGAGTACATTTTATTTCCTAGTCTCATTAACAGCTGATTTATTGATCGTTTTTGAGATGAGAACAGACGCTACCATAATTCGATATGAGATCACTGTTTTTCGTCATCATGAATTGGTGCCTAAACTTAAAACCAAAATTAAAGTCTTGGTTTGTCTCAGATTGAAACGAAAATTATTAATTAATAATACATTTTCTTATTTTCAGTGTTTGTTTACTGTAAAATAGTAAAAA